GGTACACATTTTGATTCCAACAATCACAGGAGGATAACAAGAGATTATACAACAAAAACAACAATAAATCTTATCCACTATGTGGGGTAGATTATATGGATTGTACCACATCATTATGCCATATCATTTATTAAGTTTTTAGAAATGTTGTTAACTAATAAGTCTCGATCAACAACTTTCACAAGTATTTTCTTTAGCTTTTCTCTATCTCTCTTAATAGGGTTCAAAATTATCCGTTCCAGTCTCCTCATTGGTGCCTCCCGTAGTCTTTTTTATACATGTCCAAACCATCTCAAATGATTTTCTATAATTTTTCCCTCAATAAGTGTTATGCCCACTTTTTCTTATATGTGCTCAGTTTAGATTTTATCTTTATGTGTATATCTGTACATCCATCATAACGTTTTCATCTTTGCTACTCCAGCTTTATGCTTTTGTTGTCTCGTTAAAGCGCAATATTCACTACCATACAACATAGATGGTCAATTACTCTTTCCCATAATTTTATTTTATGACTCATAAGTTTAATTCCTCTATAGTTAGCACAATTCTATCATTTGTCATTTTTTTAAGAGCTTTATTTATGTCATTATCACGTATCCTTTAATAGAATGAGAAATTTTGTTTTCCTTCACGAGTTACTAAATCCTCCAAGTTGCTAGATGAATCCTCCATCATTGAAAAGTTTGAAAAAATAGATCTCTCATATGTCATCACCATCTGTGATAGAAACTCTTCTTCCCGACTCTTAGTGGTCTCATAAATTTTTTATTCTCCATTCTTTTTTCCTTAAACCACTGTTAAACTCTTCAAATGATTTAAAATGAGTTTTATTCACAGCCATACAATACTTTCCTCAATTTTTATCATTATTACACAAATCATGTCTTTAAAATACTTCTTATATTTGACTCATACTATTATTATCCCACCACCTTTTGATTCTCCCAAATTTCTTTGGCCAAAAGATTTTCTCTTGAAAATTTTCTAATTCTCACCTTTTAACTGCCACTACTTAATCCTCAAAGCTATCATCACTTTTTGACTTTTGATTTATCAAGGACAAAGATCCTGTGCTGTGGTTACAACATCTCTAGGAATCACTTAACAATTTTTAGAGTCTTATTTGTGTGTTTCTTATCAAAAAGAAAATCAATTTGTGACCTTTAACAAAGCTTCACTTTTGTAATTGATGTGATGTTCATTCCTCTTCTTGAAACAAGTATTGGAAATCTTAAAATCACATGCTAAAAAGAAATAAAAAATCACCATGCACCCCCACTTTGTGGTATATATGCGTTGAATCAATTTATAATCAATTTAATTTCTACTTACAATATAATGGGATTTCCACACAGAGTTGTCATAGAAGTAGCTCGATATGCCATGGCCATGTTGGTCACGAGTAATGACAAAGGTCATGGGTTACAAATAACGAGGAGCCATCACAACCAATGGCGAGTGAAGAGGAGGAGCTATGTTTGAGGTATGTTAAAGTGGGGGCATTTTGGTCAAAACAAAATATCATACTCTAATTTAACGATGAACTAACGATTAGATGAATGGAATTAGAATCTTAAAATTAAGTGCATTTTACTTGTAATATTAATAATAAGAGTTTTTTTATAAAATAAATAATATATAAAGAATCTACAAGTGATGATTTAATTGGAAGCATTTTAATAAGCTGATAATGCCCTTTTTAAGAAAGTGTACAAAATTTACACAAACCTAAAATGTTTTATTTTGAATGAATCTAAAGTTATCATTTCTCAATTGTGAAAAAACCAGACAATGCATTTTTCAAAATTTTACCCCTAACCTACCCTTCCACATGGGGAAGAGAGACACACATGCATGCACACTAATCATGTCAATGATAGGTTTGAACTTATAATCTCCTTTAAGAGAGAGAGGTGGCATTGTTGTTAGGAAAATTAACGTTGCAGTGAGAGCAATTCAAATACTGCACATATATTTGAATTATTAATGGCAATATTGATAGTTCAAGAAATCAAACAAGCAGAATGTATAGTATTTGAGGATCAAGAAACAATAGTGTTGAACTATATATATATATATATATATGTATGTATGTATGTATATATTTGTTTGAGGATCAAGAAACAACAATGTTATAGCCGGAAGCAATGCTGAGCAGACACTCTTGCCAATTATGATGAAGAAGGACATCTGCCAATTATGCTTTATTTTGATAGCATGATAGCTATTAATATCTCTCATAATCCTGTTCAATATGATAGGATGAAACATGTTGAGATTGACAGACATTTCATATAGAAGAATATCACAATGGGATAGTTAATTAATCTAACTTATGTCCAAACTTAAGGGAAAGTAATCTTTATATTTAGTTGTATTTATTAAGAGAAGGGTATTAATAGTTATTTTGTATCCCTCTATGTCAATATTTTGTACTTCCTCTGGTCCTATTTATAAGATAGAGAGAGAAAATTTTTTTTGATCTTATTTGTAAGTCACGTCATTAAATTTTCATTACAAATTTTCTCTTTTTACCTTCCATTAAATTTTGAAGAGAAAAAATATGTTATTAAAGTATGTATATTTAATAAGGGCAAAGTTAAAAACTTATTAAATTTTAAGACAGAGTTAATGAGTTTTAAAATTTTTTTAATTTTGATGAAATGTATTGAAAGTGACTTAGAAATAGGATTAGAGGAGTATTTATTTTGTGGGGAACTTCTACTTTTCATAACGAAAGAAATAATGTCACAAAATGCACTGCATATAGGATATGTCAAGTTTATAGGAGAGTTACAAAACTCACACAACATAGGATCCTTGTTGACAAGTAATTTTCCCAAGGATTGGTGGCTGTTTGAAGGCAAGAAGCAGGAAATTTTCAAGCATAATCTTTTTGATAGAAGGAATTTGGAAGTCTCAAGACTTGCTTGTGATAGGATATGACTAAGAAGGTGAGGAAGGTTGCTAATGAAATTTTGGAAAAATCAAAAGGTTTTGATATGAAAGATAAGGAGTCTTGATAGTGGAATGAGATTGTATAATCAAAACATAAGGAGTGTTTTAAAGCCATCTATTGGTGCAACTAATATTGGAAAAATGTATTGTATGGCTAAGGGTAACTTGTAAAGGGGAACATGATTTGTCATTTTATCAAAGGATGTATGATAGCGAGGTAAAGGAAGATATAAAAAAAAAAAAAGGCAAATTGCTAGTCAATAGAGAGGGTATGGTCGCTAACCTTATTTAGTGAGATCTTACAATACAAGAAAATGTCTGACAAATGGAGAAGAAGTACCATATTTCCTATTTACAAAGGGGATATTTAGAATTGTGTACAAAGGGATTAAGCTTACAAAGTTATATAATGAAATTATAGGAAAGAGCATAGATTGAAATTGAAGGCTTTGTACTATTTTTGAAAATCAATTTGGCCTCATGATGGGTACGACGGCTACAAAAGTGATTTTATCTACTAAGGGAATGAAAAAGTATTTGTTGAAATATGTAAATATTATTTTTATTCTTTCAATTGGTGTTAGTTAGTTGCATTTATTAGTTAATAGTTGCAGAAGATACCCCTGTAAACCTTAGTTGAATCAATATAAAAAAAAATATTTTTCAACTAAATTTAACCATATCAAAAATATTTATTTTCCAAATAAATAAGAATCTATTTGAAAAATACTTATGACCGTATATTAAGAGAAGTATTTTGAAAAGCATTAGAAAAAAAGAAGCATGTGTTGTCGAGATATACAATATATGAAGTGAGACAAAAAACTTTCCTTATAAGAATTGAATTACATTAGGATTATCTTTGAATCATTATTTGTTTGATCTGATTCTAGAGTTTTTGATTGAGCATATTCAAAAGAAAATCTCCAAATATGCTTTTTGTTGATCATATTATTGCAGAGACAAAAGAAGAGATTAATTGTTGCTGCCTTGGAGTCAAAAGATTTTCACCTGAGTGGAGAGTAAGACGAAATATGTGATTTTGATAAAAGATTAGTGAGTTGTAATTTGAATCAATTAGAAGATCAAATTAAATAATTAAAGTAAATTATATAGACAATAGATATCCATAAAGGTCAACAATATCCATAAAGGTTTTAGAAACTTATAATTGATTCTAAAAAAATTCTCAAAAAACAAAATAAAAAGAATTCATTGAGGAAAATTTATATAGGCTTAAGGGTGTCTCCAAATTTAACTGCATCTCTTGCCCCTCTTGTTAGTAGTAAAAAACATAGACAATGAATCTCATCTTATAAGAAGATTTTATAAGTTTCCAACACTGCCTTCAGTTTAGTAACCTCCTTATCATTTTTTTCAATCTCATAAGATCCTCGGCTAGAATTAGGTCTTTTTCCATCAACTTTACTCTCAATGGTTCCCTTAAAACGTCTACTTTTTTTTCAAATGAATTAATTAGTTAAAGGAGAGTAATTTGGAGAGTCAAAACTATTAGCCATGATTTATTTAACATAAAAAAAATGAAAAGTGGTTTTTTTTGAATTTTCTGCAAAGTAAAACAAGAAAAATTGCTCAAAAAATCAAATATGTTTAACAAAAACTTGTTCTAGATCATGAATTTTGAAATTTTTTGTTCATGCATCCAAAGGATCCTAGAAGAAAAGTTTCAAGAAAAAAAAATAGAAAAATGGCACATGACATCCATGTGTTGGCCATCCATAGTGCCCTAAGAGTAGGGCTAGCAAAAAAAAAATTTTTTTTTTGATTACTTTAATTGCTTAAAATATTTTATTTGAGTGGGAGTTCTTCTAGAAGCACAAGTTAACCTAGTTTTCTCCTAAACATAAAACTTGCAAAAAAAAAATTAAAAAAAAAACAAAAAACCCATAGCCCAATTAATAAATACCAAAAACTAAGCATGCATAAATTTGTCTATGTCTTGTCCTCAGGGAACATGAAGTCTTGTCGACTATCATCTCAAAACTTAAAATTGAGAATAAAAGGGAACGTGAAATTTACACTTTTTGGAGAGGAAAGAACATGATGTCATGCATTGATTATTGATCATGTGTGAATTACTACTTAGGGCATGTGGGAAGCTTGCCATCAAGTTCAACATGTAAAAGTTGAAGCCATAATTAAAAGAGATGTCAAAGTACAAAAAACAAATGCAAGCTGTGATAAGATCTCAAGGTAGACATGAAAATCTCCCAGTTGGGATAACATGAAGATAAACTTGACCCATAGCAAGCATAATGTGACCTTCAACGATGTAAACTAAGCACAAAGAACTCAAGAACTCAAGGCAAGGGTCCATAAAAGAAAAAGAAGTGCAGACCAAAGTCCTAAAAGGCAAGCAGGCCTCTATAGCTAAAGCTAATCTTGTGTAGATTCTTAGAAGTAACAAACCACATAAGCTAAGAAGCAAGTACAAGCAAGAAGTAGCTTTATATTAGGAATAATGCTAGAGTCAAAGTTGTAGGAATTGACACCTACAAATTAGTATTACAAGATGGGCACCCCTTAACGCTACATGATGTATTCTATGCATTGAAAATTCAATGAAATCATATATGTTATTTCTTGAATTAAGTGCCAAACAAAATTCATCAGAGCTAAATTTCCTTTGCAATTAGGATACTTATAGTGAACAGTATAAAAATAAATATTATGAAAGTTTATTTTCTTAGGCTTTCAAACCATTAACTTGTTCTAAAAGTTCAAATACGAATGTGTGTATGTTTCAAATAAGCTTTAACATTATGATTTCTATGTTACACAACCTTTTTAACTACCTCCTATAAATCAAAGCAGATGAGAAAATGAGTTCCCATAGAGAAAATGCCCACCTCTACTATTATTACGAATGACAATGTACAAGCTATCTAGTGTTGAGAGATCAAAGAACTAATAGGCTCTACCATGTTTGAATGATGGCATTTTTCATGTATGTTTGTTATCTAGGAAATAATAGAAGGGTAAAAAAGGTAAGATCTTGAAAAATGTCTTATCGTAGGGAAAAAAGCACAAAGTTAGGACTATCAGAGAAGAGTCCTTTCAATCCCACATCATCTTAAATCAACTCATGCTTGAAGAAAATCATAGCAATCCTCCTCTTAAGTAAGCAAAGATGCCTTAAACATCGAAATCCATTCCATCAATATGGGTTAGTACCATTAGGACTCATTAAGTAAAATATCTTAACTTTAAAACTTCAAGGCTCAAATTTATAAACACCAAGTCTCTGTTGTAAAGGCCAATCTCATTTTAGACTTCAAACTTGTGGGTGATAATAGGCTTTTAGGTTTTGGGTGAAACCTAGCTCTAATACCACTTTTCAGGAATAAGAAGTAACCACCTAAAAATAGGAGAATAGAATAGATAGGCAACAATGAGAATGGGCTAACCTAATTTTTCTTCAAATGGTGGCACACACAAGTCCTTGCTGTAGTTAGGGTCAATCCCATTTTTTGGGATTCAAACATGTGTGCAAACAATTTTTCAAGGCCTACACGAAATATGGCTCTAATATAAAGTAACTGCCTGAAAATGAGAGAATGGGTTTCATATCTTAACTTAAAACCTCAAGACTCAAGTTTATGAGCAATAGAAGGACTTCTCACATTAAAGATGCCACAAACATGAAGTCTCTGCTCTTATAATTAGGGCCAGCCTAATTTTTGGTCTTCAAATGGTGTGGCACACATAAATCCCTGCTTTACTTAAGGCCAATCCTATTATTGAGACTTGAATGTGTGTGCAAATACCAAAGTGTAAGCTCACAAGCTTCTCATATCAAAGACATCCCAAACACCAAAGTCTATGTTCACGATCAAGACTAGCCATTGATAGATCAAGAGTAGTGCTATTAGCAATCTTCAGCTCAAAACAACAAATACTATTTATGTATAAAAAACAAGAGATGCACAAGTATTATGTCTCTTAAGCAAACCAGAATGACAATAACATATTATATATGTAAAGTTATATATGTAAAGTCACTATTGTTTTCATGAATCTTTCCATATATATGACATGATAGTTTGAGATAACCAACCACTACAACAACATTGCATATCTATGAATCATTGACAACAGTCATGAAATAATAATCTAAGGCTCAAGCAAGGGTGGTCAAAGTTGTCAGGAAAGAGAAGACAGTGTAATACTACCTTCCATATAGAAGAAAAGAGAGGAATTCAATGAAAGAATTAACCGTAAGAAGATGCTTCAAGCACTCCAAGATAAAATGATTAGTGAAGCTTGGGTTTTATATGTTCCCATATTTGTGTAATCATTGCATATTAGTGATTAAGACAAAACTAAGACGCTAACAAAAAACAATACTAGTCCCCAAGCCCACATCATTTCCATACAAGAAGACACTCGCTAACACTGCTACAAAGTCCAACAAGAATCAAAGAAAATGTTCTATAAATCCATAACATAATTGAGATCTCCCAATTTTTGATTCTAGTAGTCCACACAAAAGCTTTATTAAATATGAAAAAGTACAAGTACATACTTCGTAGGACATAGAAAAAAAACATTGCTCCAATTCGTCAAAAGGAAGTTGCCTTATAACTAAATTAGATGATACGAATTAGGAATAGAAAACTAAAACAGCAAATTATATGGATTAGGATTTAGGAATATAAATGCTTAACCCAATTTCTTTTTATTACTAGATAATAAAAATGAAAAATAAAAAAAAGAAAAGTGAAAACAATGGCGCAAAGTCCTTTTTAGGAGGACACATAACTAGAGGAAACTCCAAATGAAAGTGAAAAAAAAGAAGAAAAGAAAAAAAAGGAAATGATCTAAGGCTCTGTTGACAACAAGGCAACAAAGTTCTTTTTGACAATAAATTAGTGAAATTATACAATGCTTTTTCATATTCTTTTTTTAAAGCCTTAATTGATTTTGAGAAGTACTTGAGGGTTTTTTTAAAGCTATTATTGTAGCTAAATAGATAGATTAACTATGTAAGAAACATTCAATATGTAACAAAATTTTGTTACATTCAATATGTAACACAATTTATCTTGACATTGTTTAAAAAAGGTTACAACATACTCAGTTTTAAATTTTTTCAAAAGTAACATCAAAAGATGGATGCCTTTGTTTAATATTTGTGAAAAAGGGGAGATAGAAAATAGTGTTTTCATTCTTGTAACTGCAAATGAATTAAAATTATATTATACTATACCTTGTGAGGATTTGTTGACACACAATTTCCACTCGCCATTGTTATAGGAATTCTTCCATATTGTTGATATTTGAATCTGTAATATACTAAACAACTAATGTCAGTAAACATGACAGGTAGGTTAGGAACGTAAAATCAATACTCAAAAGTATAAAGAGTATTATCATCAATAAAAGATGAATTCAACTAAGCATATGTTCTTTTTCAGTGAGTATAACCATTGTTTTCCAATTAAGAAATGCTTGAGGGTGTAATAATAAAGAAAAGTAATTTAGTTAAATAAGGCAAGATACGCCTTCTACTTCAAAACAGAGTCACATGACAACATACAATAAGGATTATTCAAAAAGTTGCTTTTAGAAGAATATATATTTTGTCATGTTATCATATTTGTCTATGACTATTAGATTTGATTCGACTAAAGGATTCTCAACCTTAGACGAAAAAGTATCAACATTTACATGATTCGACTAGATGAGATCCTTCAAAATTAATAAAAAGCAGAAAAAAGCCAGAAGTTGGTTTAAAAGAATAGAGCAAGTGATATGGCACGGAATTGCAAAAGGAATAAAAGACTTCGGTCTAAAGGTATGAAGAGTATTAACAACAATGACAAAAATAAATGCCGCTTAAAACTAGATTGTGGGCCATGCTTTGCATAATCCTTTAGGAATTCCATTTCTATACCCTATAATGTTTTCACTTCAGGAATTGAACTTTGATTTGAGAGACATCTTAATTTTAAAATAAACAATGTTGAAGAAGAGTATCCACGGTTTAATTTAATTACCCTTTGATTCAATCTTTTGCTCCAAGAAGAATGCAAAGTAGAGTTAAATATTCGCCTGTATATCAAAGACATAAAAAAAAAAAATCCAAAACCAGAACTTCTTGGATTGCAATTCCCAATGAAGTCGTAGAAAAATAAATCTCAACCTGAACAAGCTTTTATTGATTTTGATGAAATTTCTGTTTGGCTTCACTCAACAAAGAAGGAGCACTTGTCCACCTATCTGGATGCCATTGCTGCATCAAACTTGCAAATCGACTCTGATCAGTACCTCACATAGTTCAAACCCAAAAATTCCCAGATCTATAACACCAAAAGGAATCAGAAAAATCAAAACACGAAGGAGAAGCGACTGACCAAAGCAAGCTAGAAAGAAGCTCTCCTTGTTTCTGTATTGGAATAATTTGAACTAACACCGAGAATGGAGTTGTAAGAATGCTTTGCATACAATTGATATAGATATAAAGAGATTCAAAAACAAAAGTTGAACAGATGATAAGACCTACATAGTCAGAGGATGACATTACAAAGAATCATGACGGTCCTTACAAGAGTACATAAACATATACGATGTAGTCCTGAATTTCTAGATTTCAGACGTGTGAAAGGGGCACAAAACTATAAAAGGAACAAAGGTAATTTCGTCTAAAGGCATTTAAGTAAGATCCATCAGATGAGTTTCTGTTTCATAAAAAATGTGCAGGTCTCTCTATAAAGGAAAAAGGAAAGGCAATCACTCCATTCCCTATTGAAAACATAATCCCAATTCAAAAAGATAAAAGAGCATGAAAATTTAGAATGTTTTAAAGATGAAAATGAAAAGAATCAATAAAAATGATCGAATTCTAAAGGAGTTAAATAAAGACCCATTTGATTGAAAAAAGAGAGGAAAAACAAGAAGAAACTTGGAGAGAATCAACGATGACCCATTTGATGGACCTTTCGTCTAGACCTTTAGTGAACATCATCTAACAGGTAGTGAACATCATCTAACAGGTCTTCCTCGGCTCGAAGAAGGCGAGATCATGAGAGAATCCAGTTGCTGAAACAGACAGAGAGAGAGAGAGAGAGAGAGAGGGTACTGAATAGTATTGAAGAAGGTGAAGGAGAAGAAGAAGAGCGGGAATCGGTGTCTAGAGGCTGAAAAAGTGAGGAGCGTATACTATGGGCATAGGAGTGTCGATGCTTAGAGGCTGTGAGGAGCGTATTCACCAACGGCTAGATGTATGGTCAGTGTTTACAGGCTGAGGCTTAGTAACGGCTAATTGAGTAGTTGTACCTCTTTTTATTATTATTTTTTCTTTTTTAATATTCATATACACAATATTAAATACATTTATTATCATGACATTTTTTTATGATCGAAGGAAATTATTATGATCATGACTTTTAATTATACATCTCTTAATTTATGTTAATGTCAAAAAATTAGGAGGAAAAATGAGCCTAAACCCCAATGTAAAATATGCTAATAAAAATTGGTATTTTTGCCCGCAAGGCTCATAACATATTACTAGTATTTTTTTTATGATTTTGATAAAATTATATGGATTTTTATATTTAATATACAAGCAAACTTTTTTTTAATACAAACCTGATAATATATACCATCTATGTCCCATTTTATAAGGGTTTTTTTTAATATAAGATTATATATACAAATGGGATCTCATGAAATGCAATTTATAATCTCATTTTCTCCAAAAGAAAATATGAATTTTTAAAAATACTGTTTATTTAATATAACCCCAAAAATTTGTGAACAGCATTAGAGGGAGAAAATAATTAAGAGCGAATGGTAATATTGGAATAATAATTATTAATGAAATCCTATTTCTTTCAACATATCACGTATTTTAAAATATCAAAATATGTCTAAAAATATTTTATAAAATAAGATGGAGTAAATATTTTTTGCCGTTTAGAACTAACATATTTCATGTTGACCTAATTAATTTTGCTCATCTTTGCAATGGAATTGTTCTATGCACATTGCCTAAATTCAAGGTCTCCACCTGGAAAATAAAGACAGTAGGTCCTTTTAATGGATTTCTAAAAATGCCAAATTAGTTAATGACTAGTTAGATAAAGAATATCACAAGCGTGTCTTACAAAAACAAAAATAAAACATGCATTTTTTTATAAAAATAAAATATATTAAAATAAAGTTACATAAAATTTTATTTAGATAACTTAAGACATTTTAATTAGACAAATCACAAATGACATGATGTGTTTGGCTTACCTAAAACTTTCTTTAGTTGTAGGGATTTTAACCCCCTCTCCTTTTCTTCCGGTTCCTCTAGGCATTATGTAGGTATGTAAGTTTATGAAATGTTTTTAGCTCATAGAAAGTGTCTCATATTGCTTTCAATGTACAATTTACTTCAAACTGGATTACACCATATTATAATTATTTTAATTTATTTTTTTTTAAAAAGATGGAGACATTTCAATTAGAATCATTTAATTTTTTTCTTTTGAGGTTAATTTACTTTTTTTCCTCCTTTTCTTTTGGGTTTCCTCTAGGCACTACGCAGGGGCACAACTTTGTGAAATGTTTTTAGCTGATAGAATGGGTCTCATATTGCATTGTTTTTTTTTTTTTTTGCCAAACTCATATTGCATTCAATGTTCAATTTACTCAAACGGGATTACATCATATTATAATTATTTTAATTTTTTTTGACAAACTTCACCAGTTCTATAAATTATCTTTAGAAAATTCAATAAAGTCTGAACATTACCAAGACAATAATTTCATATCACCTGTCCTATTTTTATAGGCATTACCAATACATGAATCCAGATGAAAATAATTCTTGAGAAACTTGTGCATAAAGACAAAAGGATGGAAATATTTGAAAGACAAGATCAAGCTTTGAAGATCGGTGAAGGTGCACTGCTGACGTGCAATTGAGAGGTAATCATTTATGTTAAGCGGCATCACAACTGTAACAGGTTCTGGTTTTCTGCAGCCTCATTGTTTTTGGTTTTCTTTCTCATCACTTCACTTTGGGTGAGTATCAAATTGGCCTTCCTTGGAGTAAGTATTAATGATGATGAACAATGGACGAAAACTTTAGGATGATACTTTAACTGGGGATGTTGCATTAATGGACTTGAAAACAGAGCAGAATTTGAATCGGACTGTGAAAGCTAGGAAGGCATTGTTGAAGTGATGTATTCACTTCACTTATTTCCATGAGAAATTCTCGTCAGCTACTTTTGTTTGTTAATTGCTGTAGAAAAATTAGAACCTGAAGAGTCAGAAAATTAATAGATAAAAGATCATGGACAGCAAAACAACCGTGTAGACATATTTTACTACAGCAATTTATAGATAAAATTAATAGAATGCTTTTGATATTTGATTCTAAATGTACCAAACTAAAATAAAAGCAATTTAGCTTATCAACAAGGAATAGCTCAAACAATTTGAGCATTCCTAACCTTAATAAATCAGCAAAAAAAAAAAAAAAAAGAATCAAATGATTCTTGCTAAATTCCTATCTCTCATTGGCTAGGCCTAGGCTTGCAAATTCAACACGTTTTGTTTCTTAAAACAAGCAATCTAAGCATTTGGAGGCAAAGTGGTAAACTTATGTTTCCTTCCTTCATACCAAAAAGTATGAATTTCAGAAGTTGTAAAAGTCCCACTTGATTTAAATGAATTTGAAGTTCCACTATAGCGAGATGCAAATGTAAGAATCAGGAACAGCCACAGCCCGGATTTGCTAGAGTTGCATAAGAGACCTAGTACTGTCACACTTAACATACACCAGTAATGTTTCACTATTCTAAAGTACCGTGTCTCCTACTTCGTTGACCATTTCTTTATACATTCACAATCGACATTGCATCAAATTTTCCAAACAAAACTATGGGTTTTCTGGGCATATATCTTAATTATTACAAGGCAACCACCTAATGAGAAGTTCTAACTTGCAACTATTATCCATTTGCAAAGAGCAGCGTGTGATGAAATCAGTTAAGGAAATGCATAAAACTAAGATGGAAACTCATATATTCACCACTTTGTCGATTTACATTTGCCTGAAATTGCATCCCCTTGAAAATAAGGCATGAAGGTCCTTATAAGTTCTTCATAAGTTGGTCTCTTGTAGTCCACTGCCTGCAATCAGTTATGCGCAATCAGTTCTTCATAGAGATAAAATGATCAGATTTAGTCTTCAACGCACTATTGTTCCTTTGTTTTTTTGGAAGTTTCAATATGGTCCCTTCAGTTCAAAAGCTAGCAATGTTATCTTGCCTTAAGGTTTTCTAAAATGATTCAATGTCGCCTGTCAGTTAATCTGAAAGTAGGCAAATGACTAAGTTTGGTAATAAGTTTATGGATAAAGTGACGGGCCAGATTGAATCATTTCAGAGTAAAAATAACAGGGCTAATTTGAAACTTGTACAAGACTTAGGGGATTGAAAGTGTATTTAAGCTTAATTCACCATCAGTAAGCAAGTTTCTGAAACTAGCCTGCTTCGTCAGGGTTTGCCCATTTCCACCTTCACAAGTTGCTAAATCGATCTCACTGTCATCTTTTGTTTAACAGCATAAAGATTTGTCTATGTCACCGCATATTGGATGTTCAATGTCAAAAAAAAAAAAAAAAGCACAGTTTTGGAAAAGTAACCATCTAAAATTAGTCAGAGTTCAAACATGAGCAAGAAATTCCAGGCTAAGTTAAAAAAATGGCTGTAGATTTTAGTCACAGTTTAAAAATCAATATCAAAACATAGGCTTGCTTATTTTTTTTGGGCCATCTAAGAAACAACCATAATTAAGAGTACACTCAAAGAAGAGCGTATCTTTTCTACAATAGCATAGTAGTATGCTAGGGAAACTGGAGTTGGTAAGCTTGACAAACCCTGATATTTATAATGCCATAAACCAGTGAGTTGTAACGAGCTATCTCTAATGTTTAGTTATACCAAGTATTCTTCCACAAACTCAATGATCACACCTATTTGAAAGCCAATTTTTAAATATCAAATCCTTGTGCATGGCGAGACTCCTTCTCTTTCAAACAACATGACAGGAGCACATGCCACATTGAATATTACTGGCAAAGAAAAGTGACCACTTGTTGATTTCAGCTTCAGTACTTACCACAAAGATTGTTTCACCGAAGCATTATATAACAAAATGAAAAATTACATAAGATGGCAGATTGCATGGTTCAATCATGACCTGAAAATTACCATAAAAATAATGCCAAAAGCCAAAGATGTTCCTTATAGGAAGACTAAAACTACTTACTGATGCAACACACACACTCATGCTCACACTAACTTGAATAGAATAGGAAAAGGGAGATGCAACAGAAAAAGAGTGAGAGATCAAGAACAGAGAAAGAGAGAAGAGACGGAATACAAATAGAGGGAGAAATGAGAAAGATGAAGGCAGAGCAATAGAGGGGGAAGGAGGCAGACGAAGAGGGAGTGTGAGAGGGAGAGAGAGCTTTCAGATTTCTAGTATTCATTCACCATCAAAGTGTCTAATACAAGTGCTAACTTGGTCCATTTATAGACTAAGCATTCCTTCCCCTTAAGGAAGCTCAACAATTTGCAAAATAAAAAAAAAAATATAAATTAAAAGTAAAAAGTAGAAAGTTCAGATTTCCTTCTTTAAAAGAAACTTACAAAATACTAAATAATGCAAAACCAATTTGGCAATATATTTCTTTCCATATTTTCTATCAATTCCTCCTTGGTTCAAAGAACTCTCCTCTAGAGAGGTAGAGAGTTAATAAGCTTCTAGCAGGAGTAGGATTAAGTTGCTCGAATTCATCTTTTGAAATTCAGGTGGTATCTTCATTTGAACAACCTCTCAAATGAACCAAGTAACGATAGAAGGGCCCCTCAGAGGTAAAGACAATTTGGTTATCTATAATGGTCTCAACTTTTTCAACTGTTGGTGAGATAGAGGGTAGTGGTGGAATTGACACTTGAGTAGGCCGAGTACCTACAAAATCATCAGAAAGGCAAAGGGCAGCTCAAAAGTTTTCTAGTAAGGCATAAGATCTGCCATATTAAAAACTGAACTTAGAGCTATATCAAGAGGTAATTCTGAAAGATAAGCATTACATCCTAATTTCTTTGCTATACAATAAGATCTAAAAGCTTGA